GCTATCAGTTCTTATTGTTCTTAAAGTGATTAGTGAACCGGTAGTTGAGCAAGTGTTTTCGTCAATGAAGAGAGAGAGAGAGATAAACGTGTATATCGCCGCGATTATCAAAGAATCCACTTGCACCACTCTTTCATACCAGCTCGTTAGGAAAAGAGAGAATGTCAGGCTTGTAGGGACGAACAGGTTGATGTCCTGTTATGAGCTTGCTGAAAGCCGTTGGACAGACGAAATAAGCCTCGATAATATTATTAGTCAGATGCAGTCAAAATACGGATGGAAGTTACACCGAGTTCTCCGAATAGGTTGCGTTGCCAACACCTCCCGGGAAATCAAATGGGGTGTACAACCACCATCCCTTGTTGAATTGATCACCTCGCTAAAATGGCTGTACCCATTTGACCCTTTGAGGTTTCTCTAAAGAGAGTAAAACATGCCTATTTTCTAGATGTCTGCTTCGGGTTAGAGTCAGCACAGTGAAGGAAATAATTTTCAAGCCAGGTAAGCAGGGATACTATTTATCCACACAAGGTATTCGCACGCAACACTCGGTCTGTGTACAGAGATGACCTTTGGTTGGGCGCCTGGTACTACCATAATCAGCAAAGGTTTGCAGTTTTCAAAATGTTTCAATAGATATGGCACTGTGGTTTATTCGTGTTGATCTAAAATAGACCTAAAAACCCACTGCTCGATCCTCTCCGTCGTCATCAGAATAATGTAACCTTCAGCTACTGTTTAATTTGTTAGTAGTATGCCATTATCATTGCTGTGGCCATGAAAAAAGCCCCAACAATCAGACATTCATCAGAAGAGTCAGAACACTCCATTAGGGTTTATTAGCAAGCCAAAACTGTTGATGTGGTCGAAAACTAGTCTCTTTAGGCTTACATGAATTGAGGGTTCGCGGCTGCTCAAAAACTGATTTGTTTCCAAGCAATCAAAGGGGGATAAAATGAAATTTTTGAAATCTCGATTGATCGCATTCTATAACTGAATGTGCTTCACACAGGCCGCCTCGCGATTCATTTGGCACGATATTCGATATATCGCAATATATCTTCATAAAGGAAACTGCTCAGAACGTTGCTGAAAACCTTTAGACAGCCCACGACCGGTTTCGCCCTTCTTAAGGCTCACCAGGTAGGCGGAGTCCCCGAGTTTCCGTCAAACTCATGTTCTACTTGAACCCAAAGTAGTCACCGAGTTTAGCCTTGACTTGGTGTGCCCAGCCAATAAATGATGCGCTCTACGTGGCAACCAGGAACAGCTGGATCTGAACCCCATTCGCAAGGCCGCACCCTCATTTACAAATGAAACCTGGTTACGAAGTGCCCAATTCTTTTCGAATAGGTATCGGTGTCTGAGTAAGAGGTCCCTCCAAACACGGTGCACCCTGCGATTGTTGTAATGGAACCTGTTTACTATACATTCCACTTCCGAATTTGTCCACTAGGAGCGATGTGTGCAAATGGTTTTGGGGACATTTATCCACGGAAAACACGGGCAGCTAACGGCCTGTTTTTGACGGTCGGTGACAAGCTGAAAGTCACCGAGACAAAAATAAACATGCAAACTACTGTTGATGCTAGTACAATTCGTAGTGTGGATCTTCATCACAGTAGCATCAGATAAGAATGCTAGTGCTTCACTGCTTTATAACCATGTCAGTTCATTTAAAAAAGCCATGGAAAGAAGTGACAACTGAACGACGTATTACGGTGAACGGCCGTCTATCTGGGAATAATCGAGAAGATACAAGTCATAGGTAGCTTTCGTTTGAAAGCCCGAAAACTACGAATGGTCTCTAGTGGCGAAACCAGGATGCTAGTCACTGACTCTCTTCCGTGAACGGTGTGCTGTTCAACAATACTTTAACTCGTGACTATGTCATCTTATTTTGTTTTAGCAATATAGTTCTGTGATGTGTAGTTTTGAGTTTGATGAAGCAATAAGATATTTGCGCTTTGAGACATTTGGAGCGGTTGATCAAGGCTCTGAACTGCCTGCAACCTGTACCATCTGCTCAGAGTTTAAGTATGCTCAAAAGCTAGTGAGCTGCACCATCACGGAAACGACGCACTGCAAAGTGAAGGTCTTATACGGAGTCGCTTACTCTAAAGGACGCTGTCGAAGGAGCTGCTAGTGGAGGATAGTCAGCTGCCTTTGTGTCAGATGTCCCTTTGACTTGATTGTATAGTATAAGGATGTAGTTTTATTCAAAAGCCTCATGGCTACAAGTAATCTCCTCCTGAGAACAGAACACCTCCAGATACAGTGAGGATTTGTGCAGAATGAAATAACAAACACACAGGGGTCATTAGTCAGCATTACACGATGTCCGGGAAAATTGAAGAAGTGATGCATTTCAGGGGGTGGATCAAAACCTGCGTGCGAAAATCTTGTCATGTACCGCCATTCATTTAGTTTTAAAAATTAAGAGAACCTAAAAAAAAGCTGGTTAATGATGGAGGGAACGTAGCGCACCAATTTCTTTGAATCTCACAATTCAATTGGACTTATTTGACACACAAATTCGTTCTTTTTAAATAGTACAGTTCTCTGTACTTGATGCACACTGGCACAAAATGTAATGCGTACGTAGAGTAGTCGCCGTAATAGGTCACCGTTAAGAGAACTTGGAATATCGCACTCAAAAGTTATATAGCACGTTATAACTCTTAGAAGATCATCTTCTTTCAGTCCAAATCAACTACGGAGTGATCTTCAGAAGGTAATTTTTACCTTTAAACAAAGGCCATGACCCTGAGGATCCAAAAAGAGTGATCGATAAAACCCATTGATTTTACGGGCTATATGAAAGCCGTGAATGGATGGCATGTACATGACATTTAAATATTTAGAGTTTGTTTTCACTCAGCTAACCCACACAAACAAAAAATTTCAACTTCGGATGCTACGAACCAAAGACGTCGAGCTTACTTTTTCATTTTACACTAATAGTTCTGTGACAAAATTAATGGTGTGATAAGTGCTTCCCGTGGACAGGTAATGGTTTTGACCACGACCCGTTAGTACTTTTTCGAGATTTTGTTGGAGCCAAATTAGACTTTCAGTGCGTCCATAGTTCACCGATGTAGCCAGTAATTTTTGGTTAATTTTTTGGTGACCATGAAGGACCTTCACGTTTGTCTTATGAGCGGGGACTAATCTCCGGGTAAATTAGGGGTAAGCGCAAATGAAATTCGAATCAAGATATAAGTGGGAAAGCACTACAACTAAAGTAGTCAAAAAACTGTTGAGAAAACAAGAAGTTCACCTGAAGCATCAACGCTGACGTCACTGGTCAGTGTGAGTTAAACTAGACTCATTGTATTTGAGAGTCCGACTCACAGAACATTAACCAGTTTGCTGACATGAGCCTCCCGAAGAGGCTTCCTAAACCTGAGTTGTTTTTCAGACCTCCAAAGAGAAATCAGAATGCTTCGGTTCTCGTAGAGGTCTTCATCCTGGAGGGTTACTCAACTGTGCTTAAATGAACACCGTATTTTGAAATCTCACTAAATCACAGGAAGGAAAACCTCTTTCAGAGTTTGAAAGTCTCCACTTTCGTTTGGCTACGTAGCGGAGCACAGATGAACATCACGTGATTTGTGATCCCATTTGAGATAAATGTCTATTTGGCAAAATATTTGTGATGTAGATGATAATATACTTATTTACAATATAATATAATATAGTATAANATGATATAATATAATATAATATAAAGTGAATAATTTAATAATTCTTAATTTTTATTAGTTAATATTTAATATGTAATTGACAAAAGTAATGAAAACTGAAACTGTCAGCAAAAAAAGGCGGAGGCAAACTGATACACGGATATCCATAAACGTTTATTCATAGAAAACCTGAAAGGTTAAACTGCAGACTATGTACATAAGAATCGCAGATATAAATCGGGGTTTTGGGTGGATGAATCTAATGAAGGTTCACCAGGGTAAATCTTCCGGTTCAATAGGAGTCATGAGGAAATCGACTGAAATTCTGAACATCTATTAGGTGTAAGCCGAATGTGTACAGATTTCACAACCTGAGGTGTGTCACGTACCGCAGACACAGTTGAGCGCGTTTCCAATAGTTTTCCACATCCAACGACAGTGCACCGTACAAATCATCCCTCGACGACAAGTTGCGAAAGGCACCGCTTGGAATCTAAATATCCGGTAATCACTAAAAATGGCAAATCAACGATGTTAATTGTCGGTCACATCTAAACGGGGTAGTGGTGATAAACGAAAACTTGCTGGGTTCAACAATATGTGTTATCCTTTCGACTATCGCCTATCAGATGAGTCTGTGAGTTAAATCACTGTCGTCCAAGTTCTCAAATTCTCCTGAAAACTTTCCTGCCAAAACACTTTGCTGTTAAAGTTTACTTCGTTTAGCCTAGGACAATTCTGGTTGGTTGTGATCTCCAGCGTGAGTGAGTAAGCTAACATGCCTTACTGTGTTCAGTTGAACTTTTACAAACTGTCTATTTCGAAAGCAGTGATCAGGTGTAACCTTGAGGTTTGCATATATAAATGTTTCATGACGGATGGAGTTTTTCATTCTTCATCCCATGGGTAATACTCACGAATCTTGTTGACCAAGTCACCATCTATCAGATAACACTTAAACGACGTTTCAACACACCTCAAGTCGCACCGGCCTACCAAGTAAAAACAGTGTCTGCGTCCATAACGCGGCCCTGAGAATTTGGTCAACACTAGGATCAAACTTTGGTAAGCAATCTTTTTATCCTGAGAAGTACTACACACCAAAACCATCAGTATGCTTTCAAATGCAATTTCAGAGCCTTGACAGGAAGCCAATGATCCATACTCTGTCTAATAACTTTCAGTCCCATCCATCTGGTATTCTTTTTCCCGTAGAGCTGTAAATGATCAGAAAAGACTACTTACTATGCTCCTATGCGCAGTTTGCTATCTAGGAATGTTTCACGTGACTATTTATCAACTTACCTCTATGTATCACGAATGGACATCTATATTAAGCGGGTCGAATTGTGAGGCCGGATTGGAATCCACTCTAAGTGCGGAAACATAGGTTGGTGTGAGCCTATTCTCCGAAATCCGCAGTTCCATTTCGGGCTTGTGCGTCGCGTTAGTTTCTGTATGCATCCAAGTAGGTTGCGGGTGTAGAGGCATAAACGTTTGTGGTAACGGATTGCGTGGTTTGCCTCCCAGAATTATCGAATCTTCGATTGGGAAAGTGAGTGGAACCGGTGGACATCTTGTCACTTCTCCAAAGTCTTGGGGTCTTAAGAGGCTCCCCGGTTCGGTCTTTCGTATTGTGTTGTTGTTACGTACCAGGGAACGGTAGATTGTCCCATCTCTACACGAAGTCAAAACATGGGACCCATTGTCCGGGTCAAATATTTGTCCGGCTTCCACACAAGAACACAACACAGAGCCGGGGCCACTGTTACCAGTCATTGGTCTATCATGCTGCATCAAATTTGTGGTAACCAGTGGGTTTGAGTAGGTGTGCAAATTGAGCCACAAGTGGTTGTTGCGTCCTAGTAAACTGGAACATTTGTCAGACGACGAGGAGGAGTTGATCATCCGGCCACACTTGGAAGATCTTGCCAAGGACCCGTTTGGTGCAATACCCAAACTGTTGGGACGTGTTGGACAGGGTCGTTTCTCATTACGATTACGTGAAACGTGTCGCTGTTGGTACTGTTGTCGATATCGACGCGCTAGGAGGATGCCTAGCACACCCATCAAACACGTGAGCACTCCAACCATCCCAAGTAAGACGGGTACGTGAAAAGTGGATTCACAGAAGGTTGACGTACACTTGGCGGTCTCTGCTAAAATAAAGAAAGTGTAAACAATGTCAATATATACCCGGAGGTCTAGTAGATATGGTTATTAACCTGATAAGTGATTGATTTCGTATGTGAATTTTTAGAAACTTCTATATCAGTAGTATCTCTACTATGTGGTCTTTGCTTCGTATTGAACGTCAGTTTAGTGATACTAGTGGTTCTATTATGCATACGTTGTTCAGTGCCTTACACACACAGACACACACACCAGTATCGTTCATCCTAACGGACTAATCAGAATATGCGCGAGGGAAATGGATGAGTTGGTAGAATGTGTCCACGAATTGATTCAGCCCTTGTTTTATACAGGAACTTGTGTTCCTTCAAATACACCGTTGAATCTAACTTGACCTTATGATAACTCCCCCTATGTACTTTTGATTTCCAGTTCTTTTGCTTATCCGTACCCGCCACTCACCTTGTCTCAGAGGCTCTCCTGTAAGACACCTATGTATTGATATGTGTGTTTGTGTGTGAATGTGCGCTGCTGACCTACTTACCCATGCGCGCTCATGTCCCGTTTTCTGAGCCTGCCTTGACTTGATTTCTCATCAGTTCCGTGTTATCGCAAGTCCAATGGGAATCACGAGACCGTCGTCGGAAGGGACGACCGCAGCCCACGCTACTGAGCCATCATTCCGCTCGCCGTTGTTTGATGTGCAGACGTTGACACTGCACTGTGCTGGTCAGTGACAGACTTGCTAACTTGTTGACGCTACGAACGTGAACAATTGAGGTTTTTTGTACACATCTGATTACCCTTGTGTAAATAATACCGTAGAATAACGAACCCAATTCTTTCTTTTGATATTCGGGATTGTCGAACCTACTCGTCACTCAAAGTTTCATGTGGGGAACCTCAACCTACACCAACTGAAGTTTCTCACCATTCTCCTCTCAACGTCTCTCCTTCTGTCCTGGCACACTTCTTCTAATCTATCCACACTGAGACCGGAGAACTCTGAACTTGTGTTTTGCCCTTTTTGCCGCTAGTTCATGGCCTCACCGAAATTTGCATCTCGGAGATCTGTACGACGAATTGTACAAACCCCGGAACTACGGACAAAACCAATTCGCTAACTCGTAACATTGCTTTTTGAGTCGGCATGACTTCTACTTGCAAATACTATGGTGTGTTACGGGACAAAAGTCGCGGTAAACGTCACATGACGTACCTTTTGTCTTGGCGGGTTTGTGAGACGCGGTCACAAGTCTGACTACATTCAGTCGCACTGACTGCGTGACAGTCTGTATTGAAGGCGGTATGAAAGTTGTCCTAGGAGTTTGGGGATCTGCATCAGCGAGTTGGCAAGCATTTGGCTGAAAACAAAAGAAAACTGTCTGGAATCGTTTGCAATGCAGAAAGTGTTGTTTCATTGCTGGATTTATAAACTTTGTAACGAGCGAATGTACACTACTCTGAATAAAACCGAAATGCTCCAGTGCCCGTTATGAGAAACTTTCAGTGTTTGCATGATTAGTGTGACAGTTAATGAGATGTCAAACTGGCCGTTGGGATGAATTACAAGTTCTGCTAGACGTTCACCGGTAATGAATATATATATATATATATATATATATATATAAACAAAATCAAGTATGCGAGGCAGTCAACCGGCCGTCGTGGATTGACTAAGACGACTTAGATTTCACGTAATTTGAACGTCCACATAATATCATACTTATGGATGCCAAGCGTAGTGGTTGTGCCGGAACAACCACTAACCCACCGCTACGCACCTTTACGCTCCCCAATAACGCACTGATGATGTCACCTCGATTGGTGATGAAACGTTTGCAATCAAATTGCCCAGCTCAGCGAAGAAGTCAACGACCGTCTACGCTACCTGAGGTACCGACATTTTCCTCTATAGAATATATATATACATATACGATTGTGGATGTAAAATGAATCCCCATTAGTCAAAATTATGAAACAATGCTACCCAAAAGTTCTTCGCCACCCGTAGTGAGGTGCATAGCCTTGCTTTTCGGTTCAGTATAAATTGATGCTTGTGGATCCGACTACTATTCTTGCGCAAGTAGTAACAAGTTTCGCCTATTACCATGACTGTTACAGCGTGTTGTCGTGGGCATCCACCTAGAATGACGGTTCGTGCGTTTCGACCCCCGCAATTTTCTCGTTCGGCGCTAATCTACCAGGTCTCTACATGACTTCATCAGTAACTTTTCGAACAAATTGGCATCTCCAAGACGAAAGATTCTCAACTGGGACAAGAACATGATCAAATGCCGAGGTTCGTACAATCTTTACTGCTTCGTCCTCAAGTGGAGAATGCATTCCAATCGATTCCAAGGGCCCACTTATATTTTGCTCAACGTAGGAATTATTGTGCAGACAGGAAGAGAAGATCTTCAGGAAAGAGCTGTTGGAACTCTTTACATATAGATACTTGTTCATCTGAACTTACGTGAATTATTTAAGCATATCATAAAAGGAGAGTAGAGGCGTAGTAAAGTGGATCATGAAATTGTTTTCTTTTTGGCTACAAAATGAATATGAATCGTGTATGAGGAGTTGAATTCGCCACAAATCTATCTTACTCTAAAGCCTTTTCGGTGAGACATCATCTGTACCGAATTCGAGTGCACAAACCTAATTTTGACTTGGTAGGTATGTCTTTGACCGGATGTTATTGTAGTTCGACTGGCCGTGCATTTATATTGGGTTGTTAGTTACGGAATAGCTTCAACCGTAGACATGCGTGCTCCCATGAATGACATATTCCTAAAGGGCAAACTATTGAGCAAACAATGGATCTCACAATAACTGAAGTGCCGTTTCAAATGGTGTCACATACCAAAAACGTGAATGTGTAATATCAGTTAACGCCAGACTGCCCGTAATTCCCACTCAATCAAAGCCGACGGTTAAATAGTGAGGTCTGCACGTGTTTGATACTTCGTGGCATTGCTCCTTTCTTTCGCTAGTTTTTACTGAACTTTCCCTCAACGTTTGGTCTTAAAAATGCCTACAAATACCATATCAAGATGTATCTAACCATAAACAAATTTCCCCTCACATTTCACAGATAAGTACTGTGCAAACGAGATGACCCAAGGAGGCAGAGCACGAATTTACTGACCGAAAGGTCCGTGGTTCAAATCCGACCTCCATCTCTCGACTTCCCGTGTCTAGGCTTGGGCAACCTGGCAGTATCCCAATCCTCGTGCAACCTTCGGGTGGCAAGGCAGTTGGGCACCAGAAGGGTACTACAGCTGAACGATTTTTTTAACGAATGTGCAAACGAATGCGGCTAATGGCCGTGGAATTCACACATACGATACTCGTGCCCATCGGACACATCGTGGCTGGACCGATGGTGCCATACCCGCGTTTAGGTTACGATGCAACTTTCACAGGCTCTGGGTTGGGTGACCTGACAAAACAGTATCAGCCAGGCACCAGTGGCATTCTCATGAGTCCTGCAACCAATCAGTGACAGAACATCAACCAATGTATACTATGAATGATTCATCCTTATTCGTGTGGCTAGGGTACTCGATGAAGTTAGAGGCATGTGCTGCACTGGCGGGATGAAGTTGAATTCGTGGGTGTGCCATCCTTGATTCAATGCTTACGAAGGATGGGTGAGTTAAATCATTTGTCTGAAAATGATTGTAGTTCGCTAATTTGGTTTCAAGTAGAACGCAGAACTCTGGAACTGTGCCTATCTGATAAGTTCCAAGAAGGGCAAAACCGGTCGTGTGCTGTCAAAGTATTTTCAGCAACCTTATCAGTAGTGTATAGTCAGTTATTTCGTGAGAGAAACTTGTGGGCTGACACACTACAATTTGGCTGAATACCAGATGAGCAATTGCCACGCAAGACAAATGTCACTGAGCTCGCAAGAACGAGGGTTACATCAATATTCATCGAAACAAAGCTTCGGACAGTTAGGAAGAAAAGACAAAAGCTCTGATGTGGGAAACTCGAAGTTCGATTCTTTATGTTCCTAGTAAGTGTTTCAACAGCCGGACCAATTTGGATCCTGCGTCACATCGAGTTTCAAATCGATTCGTGAATCTATAATATGTTGGAAATACATTGACTGGACGTAGAGGAGACGTGGATTTTGACTGTTTCGGTTGGGATCCCAAGCAGAGATACTGAAGTAAGAAGATCAACTCACCTGCTCAGAAGATGAGTCAAAGATTTTTTGCTTACTGAACATATACTTCACAAATTTATCCAGCTCCCGTATCACACATTGCATGTGTATTTGACCTCCATCCTGATCACTTTTTTCTAAGAACGTCTGTTCTCTGTTCTTCGCTATGCAGCTAGGAATTTCTGTTCATAAACATTCAAAGTCTCAATCCTTACGCACCAGCTCGCGTCAGTTCCCTTTGAGGTATTTGGACCAAATCATCTTTGTACCCACCGAAAAATCGCCTGAAATGCGTTAATGGGATGTGTCCACCATAGCCTTTTTGGTTAGCTAAGCGATAACTCGTTGACTTGAGTCCTGTTCAAGGTAGTCGTTTCGTTACATCTTTCCACTCGTTCTAGCAGCTCTCTCTCGTCCCAGTAAATATCTTGACGTTATTCTGTGCAGGGGATATCTCCCGGGCAGCCAGGGATATCCTTCGTGGTACCGGAATTTAAACTCTGGGCGTACCAAGCTAGTGTGTTGCCATCACTCACTCAATGCATACTGAAATCACTGGAAGTATCATGCCTGATCAGGAGAACATGTATATTTTTGAGCAATCGCATCGCTTCCTCGAATACCATTTAAGAATTTGTTCTTAGGTTCCAAGGACTCTTCGATTCGTTGCCAGTAGATGTAGTGTTTGGGTAATCTATACTGACATCCGTCCCGTTTAAACAGCCTGCCTTCTCTCTATGCGCGACTAAACTGATCTGTTCACCATAGTAACTAGCAAGATGTG